ACGATGAATACATGGCCCCCACTGGGCCTCGGACCGACCCCCAGGGACTTAGGGGTTGAGCGCCACGTCGCACTCCAAGCCTGACGAATATGTTCCCAAGAAAGGGCCCACGGTGCCGCACGGGATTGGGGAGCCAAAGTGTTTTGCAGTATCTCGCGATATGCGGCCACACTTCCAAGCCTGGCAGGTCCGTTTTCGATGCGGGTTAAAATCGAACGGTTCCTACTTCCACTGGATGGCTTCATGGTCGAGGCCACAATCTTCTCACTTTGACCAGTTCCGCGTCTGTCATGCCGCGGGCCTCCGAGCCGCACTGCAGACCCGCCAAAGGACCCGAAATAAAGACCTTGACCGCTCGACGGCCAAGGACAGGCCGTTGCTTCGCAAGACGTCGAGTCCTGCGGACAGCCGCCGAGAGCCAAGCTTTCGCCTGAGCTGCACGGCCGCGGACCCTTGCGAGGCAGGCCAGCAGTCATATCGATGCCAAGGTTAACCGTAGTTTCCCTCCTAGGCCCCACGAGGGGCCCATAGTCGTCCTGGAGGCGGGAGGGGGCCACCCTGGCAGACGGAACAAAAGCAACATTGTCCATGGAGATCTGGGCCTGCATCATACCAGTGATGGCGACGCGCAACGCTTCAGCAGATTGCGCCAAACGGGAGATGACGTGGCTGATGGCGCCTTCACAATTGAGGCCCGAGTCATCGATATCAATGTCCAACGTCGCGTTCGGCTCTGGAGGCGCCGAGTCGAACGAATCGACGCAGAAAACTTTGGTCATCGCGGTCGCCATCGAGAAACTAGCCACAACGCCACACTCAGCGTAAAGTGCAGGAGCGAACACTCCGCACAGGACCACGAACCTGGCCGAGCGGTAGGCGCAAAGACAAACCCCCGATAGCGCAGGATGGAAGTTAAGCTTGCGGCAACGCTGCTCGAGCAGCACCAAAGGAATATGCTCGTAATAATTCACCAGGGAATGTGCTTCATTAGCCTCTCGAGCACTGGACGCTGCCTTGGCGAACAGGTCCCTGGCCATGTCTGCGAGGGGCGATGCCGGGGTGTCGCGCCTCTGGTCAATTTCCTTGCGGGTCCCTTCGTCGAGTTCATCGTCGCCCGTCGAAAACAATGAGCCGATATCCACGCTGATGCCTTCGATCCTACCGTCGAACAAACCCCCGAGCTTGATAGTAGGCTGAGAAGCGGCGACGCAGGGCTCTGCGCGAGCATCAGACACCTTCTTAGCCAACTCCTCATAGCTCTTGTCAAGCTGCTCCACCTCGGGGGCCATGGACTTGACCAGATTGCGCTGCGAATCCAACTGGGGCTCCAGGGACTTGACACGGTTAGTATCCTTCTCCATGCGGCGCCCGTGTTTGACCCTGTCCCGTTGAACCCGTGCCAGTTGTTCTTCCGGACCAACCTCAGGAGCTTGCTGAGGACGGCGAGCAGCGAGCTGAGCACGGCCACGCCCAGCATCCTCGGTCTTGCCCACCTTCTCCGACAACGCAATGCACGACTCGAGCTCGGCATTCGAGAGGGCGGAAAGCCGGCTGCCACCCTGCTGGGAAACACTCCTTCCTTGGAGGCCAGGTACTCGCGCACCATCACCACGGAAAAGAGCGAGCCCAGAAGAGCCCGCCCAGGCTGAGCCTGACGGGATGGGCGAGGACTGGCTGCGCAACGAGCCGCAATGCTTGCAGAAGTAGTATGATGGCTTGTTCTTCCTGCAACCGCATGTGTTGCAGATCCACTTCCCTCCGCCCCCTTGCTGATACAAAGCTCCAGCCGGACGAGGGGACTGGGGGCCAGAAGGCAGAGGCAGGCCATTGATCACGATGAGGACCACGAACGTCGCCTGCAGCAGCACCTTTACCTGAACCTTTGAGCGTGGGCTTTGACCATTCCGTATGCCACGGACACCATGGGACACGGCCAGCAGCCCCTTTCCCTCCAGATTACGTAGACGCCACGGCTCCCGCGAACGGATCGTGGTGACAGGCTCCGAAGGAGCAGGCGAAGTGAGGGTTGAGATCCCTCCAACTGAATTGAAAGAGAGAAGCTAAAAAGGCCCGCAACAGCAGTGTGCCGTTCTAAAGACATGCTGTTGCAAGCACATGCAAAACGCCTGAGCCAGAACGGCTGCAGGAGGAGGAGGAGGAGGCGCAGGAGGAGGAGGAGGAGGAGGAGGAGGAAGTGAACGAGAAAGAGCAGGAGAGAAAGTGGAGGAGGCGCAGGAGGAGGAGGAGGAGGAGACGACCTATAATAAGAAGAGACGACGAAGGCGAATAATGATAATCATACGAATGGGACTATTCAGAAATACGAAGAAAAGGGAGCAGGAACAGAAGCTGTGGCAGGAGCAGGAGCAGGAGCTGGAGGAGGAGGAGGAGGAGGAGGAGAAGGACGAGGAGGAGGAGGACGATGAGGAGGAGGAGCACGCTGAGGAGGAGGAGGAGGACGAGGAGAAGGAAAGGGGAGGAAGAGGAAGAGGAGAAGGAGGAGGAGGAGGACGACGACGACGACGAGGAGGAGTAGCAGGAGATCGGCGGGCCAGGCGAGGCTTCCAGGGTCCCCCGGCTCCATGGGTTGAACTAAAGTTCTGAGTCGTCGGATCGCGCTGAAGCAACAGGCTATCACGCCTTCTGCCCGCTGAGGGGGGCATCAGCCTGCTGCTCGTTAGTGTTCACAGAGCCTGGGCTGCATGGGGAATGAGTGAAATGAGAGGCGGAGAAAGCGGCCATCCTCTCCTCCCTCCCCGAGGAGCCGCGCCTGGAGGGCGAGGAGGCTTGCGGACGCTCCCGCCTTCCTCCCCCCCCCAGCTGCTGCACGCCGCGGCGCGGCGGGGACCCACGGGGCCTCGGAGGCCCCCAGGCGGTGTGGCGACCACTCCTCCTCCTCCTCCTCCTCCTCCTCCTCCTCCTCCTCCTCCTCCTCCTCCTCCTCTCCTCCTCCTCCTCCTCCTCCTTCTCCTCCTCCTCCTCCTCCTCCTGCTCCTCCTCCTTCTCCTCTTCGTCCTCCGCCTCGTCCTCCGCCTCGTCCTCCGCCTCGTCCTCGTCGTCCTCCTGCCCCTCCTCGCCGTCCTCCCCTAGAGTTCGTGCCGCGCGCAAGAAAAAGGATGGGGACCTGGAGGGAGAACGACGATCGGGCGACACGGAGAGGAACAACAGTAAGAAAAGAGAGAACAGAGGGGAGGAGGAGCCCGGGGGAGCAGCACAGCACGACATGGAGGGGAGGGGGGAGAGACACACGGGGACCCCCGAAGCCCAGAAGTCCCCTATAGCGCCCCAGACGGGGTGTCGTAAGGGGACATTCCAAGCAGAGGGGGGAGGGGGGGGGGGTGGCAGGGGGGAGAGGGGGCGCGAAGTCAACGAAAGAGCCATGGGCCATAGGCCGCCCCCGAAACGACGACGACGGCGACGAAGACGACGTCTGCGACGAGCGGCGACGCCGAAGCCAACGCCCACGGCGACGGGGTCGGGGGCGAGGAGGGGCGGGGGGGTGGAGAGAGAGACGGGGGAAGGGCCGAAGCAAGGGAGGAAACGAGGGTGGCCCCTGACCTCGCCCTGTCGTGGAGCCCCCAGGAGAGTCCTGCACGTGCGCGCGTCCCAATGTGGACGGCGCAAGGGTCTCTCCTCCTGCCCTTAGAGATCCCACATAGGCGTCCAAGGCCTACGGCGGGGACCCGCACCTGCAAGCAGGCGTAGGGTTCTTGGCGAAGGTCTGGTGGCCGCTGCGGGGATGCCACCAGGCATGAGGGAGGTTGCGCTTTCCGTGGCCCGTCAGAGGGTGCGCTTCTTGAGCTCGTTGATATTGTTCTCGGTAGTCCAGATGGTAGCCCGCAGCTGTTTGTTGGCGAGGGTGAAGACCGCGCGGCCGAGTCCTGCCTGGCAGAGGTAGTATGCGTCCTCGGTGATGTAGCCGTAGTTGTACTGGGCCTCGATCTCGCGTTTGTGGTCGCGGTTGCCGTTCTCTTGGGCCTCGGCGGCTTCTTGGGACGCCTTTTCGGCGCGCCCGAGCCTCGCGACCTCTGCGAGATCTTCGCAGTACAGCTCCTCGAGGTTGTCCAGGTCTGCCCCCCCCCCCGCTTTTGCCTTGCGGAGGCTGGCTGTCTCTGGCACGTGGGCTGGTGGTGCGTCTTTTGGCAGAAGATCGGCTCGAGGTCGCTCCCAAGACCGGCTGATCCCGCTCTCCCGCCCGCGCCTTGCAGTGACGATGAGACCCTCCAGAAAGGCCCAGTAAGAAACTCAACCCTGAGACCCCAGGACGTCCATTGATCTTTGGTGTAGGAACGTCACGCTTTCCATCGCAAAACCATCGAAATCCCAGAAACCCAGGGCACCCTGGAGGCAAGCAGGGTGTTTCTTGGCATGGGTTTCCACTGTGCGTCGCCGACGTCGACATCCCAGAGATCCGACGGTATGATTTTTGTCAACCCCGCCGCTTGTCGGTCATCGGAACTTGGGACCATCAAACATGGACCAAGGATGAAGCAACTACATCGAGGTATGCGGTCGTCGAGTAACAGAATCTGGCATAATATCGTTTCTTTGAGGTCCGCGCGGGTTTCTTGGATCGGCGTGGGGTCCCCCTTTGCGGCGCTTCTGGCGCCGCCCCTGGCGCGCTCCGGGCGCCAGGGAGGGGGGCCCAGCGCCGATCGAAGAAATCCTCGCAGACCTCCGAGAAATGGTTTTTACACCCTTTGTTTGATGCTCCAGATCCTCGACAGCGAAAGGGAGGTTCACGAAGTCTGCCGCGTACAGCTGGTTCCTGATCGGCCCCGCCGCCCGGCGCTTTCCTCGATGTACTCTGGCGCCTCCAGGCCCCGGGCGGCGCCTTGGGTTAGTCAGCCACGGGAGCTGATTCGCGGAACCCCCGCTCACTGACCCCAGCAAGATGCCCCAAGACGAGGACGAAGATTGCGGAATCGCCGGCGTCGTCGACGTCGTCGTCGTCGTCATCGTCATCGTCGTCCTCGTCCTCGTCCTCGACCCTCGCCGAGGCCAGCGCGCCTCTGTGCGGCTGCGGCCCTGGCGGCGGCGGCCCCGGCCAGCAGCTGTTCGCCATGGTCGGGCTGGCGGCCCCGAGCGAGGAGTCCTTCACGGACGGGCCCCGCGCCTTTTATCGGTGCCGCCGTCGCGCGCCTCCTCCTCCTGCTCCTCCTCCTCCTCCTCCTCCTCTTCCTCCTCTCCCTCCTCTTCCTCGTCCTCCGCCTCCTCCTCGTCCTCCTCCTCCTTCTCCCTGTTCTCCTCCTCCTCCTCCTCCTCTTCCTCCTCTTCCTTGTCCTCCTCCTCCTCCTCCTCCTCCTCCTCCTCCTCCTCTTCCTCCTCTCGGTATCGTTAACCGATCACGGACGGCCCCCGCGCCTTTATCGTTTCATCGATCCCCATCCCCATCTCCATCCCCTTTGAGACCCCCACCAAATTACCACCCCATTTGGGAATACACCCCTCGAAGCCCGAGGAGCACGACCTGTATCCCCATCTAGAGGGTTAAATCGGCCAGAGAGGCTCAGGCCACGCCGCTGGGGATGGGGATCGGTTAAACGACATTCACCCGCGCCTTTATCGGTGCCGTCGTCGCGCGCCTCCTCATGTCCTCGGCGCCGGGGAAGGCCGAGGGGCCGAGGAGGAGGAGGAGGAGGAGGAGGACTCAGGATCAGGGGAGGAGGGAGGACAAGCTAGGTGCGCTCGCGTCATGTCTAACGTCCTACCCCTCCCTCCCATCCCATACCATGGCGTACATCTCCTCTCTATTCGCGCAGTCGGATGTCGTAGCAGGGCGTAGCATTAAAGGGCATAGCATGTAGCATGACATGGCATGGCGTGGCGACGCACCAAAGTGGGGGGGGGGCTTCTGCGGGCCAAGAAATCAACGAATCGACACCGAACGTGTAATCATTTCTGATGGTTTTTTCGGGATACCGTTTTCTAGATTTGGAGGCCTCTTTGGACAGACCGAAAACCGAAAACCATGCAGTGGCATGGCACTGGAGATAATGACGCCAACGCTGCAGCGGGAGCACTATTCGGAACGAGTGGAAGCGTGGAAATCTGGCCAGCGCTCCACCGGGAGCACGATTCGGAACGAGCGGAAGCGCGGAAATGATGCCAGCGATTCAGCGGGAGCAACATTTTGGAAACAAAAACCTAAGCGAAAACTCAAATCCCAAGAATCCTGTGTGTTAGCAACCGTACGCGGAGGGGGGCCAGATATCTTCCGGACGTCATCAGGGGAGAGGAGAGTAGTATTCAGATTGTGTAATTGTAGAGGAGGAGGAGGAGGAGGAGGAGGAGGATGAGGAGGAGGAGGAGGAGGAGGAGGAGGGGGATCGGCGGCGAGCGGGGGGGGAAGTGAGAAGGAGAAGGCCCTCTCGGGCCCCCTCAGAAGTCGCCGGGGCTTCTGAGAAGTTTCCTGTGTCTTCGGGGCAGGCTTCCAGAACTTCTCAGAAGGCTGGGTGGCTTCCGACCCTTCTGAGGCGGCCCGCCCCTTCTCACTCCCCACCCGAGCTCGCCGCCGAAGAGAGGCAGCGAGATCGAAAGCCGTGCACGTCAGAGGTGCCTTGGGAAGACGGTTCTGCAGTCCACCATCTTTGCTGGCCGCCACGCGCCGCATCGGCCACTCTTAGCCACTGGACGTCCTCGAACGAACCAGGACGAAGCTGCGCAGACAGCGCCGCCGCCAGCCGAGGAAGGACGCCAAGGCCTTCTCGCGGCTGGGCGCATGCGGCTCGGCCTCGTCCTCCGCCACGGGCCCGAAGGAGCGCGGCCCGGGCCTCTCGAGCGGACACGGGGCGGCTCCGACCCTGCCGATGCGACGCCGCCCGGGCGACGGCGCCGCGACGGGCGGGAGCCCGCAGATCCACTGTGAGGGCGGGGGCCCCTGATGTGGTTCGTGCGGGGTCCCTGGAAGTCCCGACCCTTTACTCGAGTCGGCGGCGAGCGAGGTGGGGGAAATGAGAAGGAAAAGGCCTTCTCAGAAGGCGGCGGGACTTCTCAGAAAGTCTCGCGCCTTCTGAGAAGTTTTTCGTGTCTTCGGTGCAGGCTTAGAAAACTTCTCAGAAGGCCGGGGGACTTCCGAGCCTTCTGAGAAGGCCCGCGCTTCTTCTTCCCCCCCTCGCCCGCCGCCGATCGAGGCCGGATCCACCCCGAGTCGGGCTCGTCAGAAACGATGGTGTTTGAGCGGTCCCGTTGTCCAGCAAGGGGCCCTCCGACGCCGAGACGGGAAAGAACACATTCCCGCCGCGAGTTCTGTCACGACGTGGTACGATCGGGCGGGGCTAGGGTGAGGATAAATCCGGTCCAGACCGTTCTGAAACGCTCTGGGAAGGCCGCGGCGTCCGATACTCCAGAGCCGCCGGATCTCAGAGATTCCTCTCGCTTCGCGGGGTGCACGTCCGGACCACGTACATTCCAGTTGTTGCGGTGCCTCTTGGGAGCTTCTTTGTGGCCTCTTCGAGGTGTCGTGGGTGGGGGCTTCTTGGAGCCTCTTGGGGGCGTCTTGGGCCGTCTTGGGGCGGTCGTGCTGCGTGTGGCCCATTCGGAGGCCGTCCTAGGGGCCCCTCGCTGCCGTTCCAGGGCCCGATACATCCTCCAGAGCCGCCGGATATCCCATATTCGCGTGGGGTTATGCCACACCGCCTACCCCTTGGGGAACTGGCGGTTGCTCTTTTGGGGCTTCATAGGGGACCCTTGGGGGCCTTCTCGGGGCCTCTTGGGCTGACATTCTCAGCATCCGCAGTGTACACATGGGGAAACGGGCGAGAACCCACGTATACAGACGTGTACAGACGGCGATCCAAAGGACGAACGGGCGGGAGTGGGCTTAATCGTACATCCAAGTGTTAGGCGCTCTGTGGTTGGATTTGCCACGCGACGGACTGCATGGCATCGCTCAAGGTTCGGATCCCAGGAGGTAAGGCTGTCGTTTTCTTCGGTACGCGCCGCACAGCGGATACGAGTTCCAACGGCGGTCTGAATTCTTCACGAGCTTGTCAGAATTCGTTTGCACAAGGTCCGCTCATGGACCGAAGCTTGTGTTAGAAGTCGTGCATGCAAACTTGCATGGCCAACTCGATGGAGAGAGTGACGCCGTGGGGCCCTACATGTTCAATCACCCCCTCCAGACGTGCAAGGAAGACGCCAGGCGCCACCTAATGGTTGAGATGTCCGAGAATATGAGCGTGTGCGTTGCAAGCACATATTTTGACGCGCCAGATGGCAACCACCTGTCCAGCTACAGCGTGGGTGCGTCTGCTAGGCTACAAATAGGATCCTCGCCGCATTCGCAGATCGATTTCGTACTCTGCGAGAGGAGTTTTCGCAATGACGTGTTTGGCGTGGCTGCTAAGCACGACTTCCCGTTGCCGACCCATCATTTCTTGTTGACTGCGTGTGTCCGCATGTCAGCTGAGAAGATGGCACCTGCGGGCCAGAGTCCACGTCTTGATGTCACAGCCCTCTCCGACCCACACCCCGCTTGTCATTTCAACGTGAACATACTGAGTGCTTTTGACGGCCTCGAAGAGACAGCAACTGGAAACGGGGATGTCGAGTTGGGGTGGGGTCGTATCGTGGACGGCTTCCATCACGCTGCAGAAACGCTCGTTGCCACTCGTTCCGAGGCGGACCATAAGGCCTTGGACGAGTGCCGGAACGTTGGGGTTTATCGAGCGCCGAGTGAGCGCCTGAAGGCAGGGCGACATTGACGAGCAGAAGCGATTGTCGAAGAAAAACCGGGCTTCGGTTGCCAGGGACAAGGCCGCTTGGATCGAATCGGTCACGGATCTGCTGATTGGACGGAATCAGATTCGGAGGTCCCGGAAGGGCCCTGTCCGCAGACAAGGCAGGTTTCGCGACGTCAACAAGGGCATGGTGGACACGAACCAGCGCGCTGAGACTTTGGCCGGCTACCTTGAGAGGGTGCGATGGGCAGCCTGACCCACGTCAGTGGCACCGCCAGCTGCTGCCCGCATTGCCGACAACGACTTGCCCATCTCCGTTGGCGACATCGCAGTGGAGGAGGTGGAGACCGCATCTGCGAAATTGAAGCGTGGGCGCGCTTCTGGACTTGCCGGGGTGCCACCCGAATCCTGGAAACCAGCAGCAGGCAACGCGGGAGGTCCCCCGAGCTACCCGGCACAATGCTACACCGACGTATGGAGACCAGGTGAGTTGCCAGAATTTTGGCGGCACGCGAGGGTGTCGATGTTGTTGAAGAGAGGCGACCCTGCAGATTGCTAGAACTACCAGCCGATCAGCATCTCGCCCATCGGCTACAAATTATTCGCGGCCATCTTGCCACAGAGGCTGAAGCAGGCGGGGGCTGAAGATTGCATCTTGCGAACCCAATTCGGGTTCCGCTCCGGGCGGAGCACGGCAAGCGCAGTGTTCCGCGCCCGCCGGATGCAGGATGACACATGGTCAGCGCGAGATGCAAGTCGCTAATTCTTGGCACTCGACTGGGTCAAGGCATTCGATTCGGCGCGGCCGCGCCGGCACGTTGCCGGACGCGCTTGCCGGCTCGTTGCGGAGATGCGGCTGCCCAGGAGGTGCCGCGGCCGTCGTCGATCGACTTGCAGCGAGCGCGCGTTCGTCGCGGGGGACTCCGGGGCCGCGCGCAGCGTTCATCGGCAGAGGCGCGGCGCATGCCAGGGCTGACCGCTGTTCCCCTTCTGTTTCACCGTTACGATGGCGACGTCTCTCACGGACGCGCGCGCGCTGCTGCGCAGACGCGCCAGACCGATGCTAGAAAATCGGTCTGCGAGGGAGCCCGCGTACGCGGGCCATGCGTTGCTCATGGACTCAGACCCGGCCCTCGTTCAAGAGCTGATGCGCTGCGTTAAGGACTGCGGGGGCCACTGCGGGCTGCAGTCAGATTGGGGCAAGTTGGGGTTTCAGCCGAGCAGTCATTGATTTATCTCGGGGCGTCTCTTGCTGCGGACGGGCGCATGGGCGCAGAGCTGAGTCGAATAATTGGGCGGCCAGAAGTGACTTCGAGCTGCCCGCGAGGATTTGGTCGCATTCGACCGCGCGTAGGAGACAGAAGCTGCGCAGATTCAATGCTTGCGTTGCCCCCAACCTCGCGCAGGCACTATGCGCCGCGCGCCG